TATAAGTATTATACTATAAAATATTGAAATATAGAGTAACAAAAATTGGAAAGTAAAATACTGAATATTGTGTAAAGAATTTGAGAGAATAATTTTGTAATTGAATATTGCGTAAAGAAATTCGAGAGATTGATATGGATTTGTAAAAATCTTCCCGTATTTATAGACGAAAAAATATATCCATTTTAACAATATTTAATATAAAAATTTAAATGTTGACAAGATAATTGCACGAAAAAAATTTTGTGAATATATTTTTCGGGTTGCGTACACGCAAGCAACAGCTTGCGTGCATAGCTGCCTGCACAGCAGGCAGCTTTAATTTGAAATCAAATTTTAATTTTTTTAATTGCTTGCTTGACGCGGACCGTTTCTTTCGAGCCCCTGAACTTTTTTGCCATCTCTAGTCACATTTAGTAACATCCAATAAAATGTTGTGACATATAATTTAATTAAATATATCATTATCACAAAAACCCACAATTTATAAATATCATCACATATAAGTCACAATTCACACAAGTTCACAATCACAACGACACAATTTGTGGGTCGCAATTAAATATTTGGTTACAAATCAAACATGTTAATAAATCACAAATTTATTTATTAGTCATAAATGACTTAATTAATTAATGACAATCACTCTTCGCCTCGTCCCACCCCCATTTCACCATTGTGACACCATCGAAATTGATGTTACCCGGCCCAAATCCACAATTCATTATCACCACCGTAAATCCACGATCACCACCTACACCTCAATCCACCGTTGAACTATAATAAATTATTTTCGTGTTTCAATTGAATGGTGATATAGAGAAAAGCAATGACACAAATGGTAGCACCGCGATAGAAAGAAGCAACACACCCAAAACAACAAAAGTAAAAACAATAGGTCGTCGATAGGTGGTTTGGTGGTGGTTTCTTGGTGATCGAGGGTGGCGGCTCTGTAAGGAAATTTGCCTCACGTGTTGTTGTGGGATCCAATTGAAAGTGGGAGTTGTGTGTTGGGAGATGATTTCGCCACGATGGTGGTTTGAGATGGAGTGAGGCTGGTGGCTTGGAGTTGGTAGGCAGTGGTTTAGGGCTTGTTTGAGAATGAGTGTTTGGCTTAGTGGGGGTGGTGTGGGGTAGGGTGATTCTATGTGGATATAGCTATTTTTGATTAAAAAGAAAAAATTATACCTTATTTTTAAATTGAAAATTAGAAGTTAGGAATTGGGATATTTTTTCCAATTAAATACGAGGATAAAATGGAAAACAAAAATATTTCTCGGATATTCACACTTTAGGGATAACGATTTGACCCATGGTGTCCATCTTTGACGGGGTGGACGAAGATTTCGAGCCGGCGACACCCCGCCACCTCCCGATTATTTAATTATTTACAAAAAAATTCAAAGTTTGTTTAAAAATACTTATGTTCAAGCCTATTTGAAATTTTAGGTCTGCGTATAATATTATTTTATTGAAAAATGTGATGTTAAAAATAAGAAAGAAAAAATGTGTTTAGAAATAATAGGGATCAAACAACGGCTAAACAAGGTCCTCTTGTCATGTCAACGATAGAAAGTTTTTACATAAGAGAGACAGTAAACAAGGTGATATATTGCCCACCTAAAACTAGGATCAGGCTTTTTATGGCTCTTGTATGGCTTCCATTTTCCTCATTAAACCTTTGTTTGATATTCATTATTTTTAAAATACATTTTTCTTTATCTTATTTTAATCCTACATTTTTCAATAAAATAACATTATACGCAATCCAAATTTTTTTCCTTATTTTTTAACCACACGTTCTTCATCAAATCACTATTTCAAATATGTGATGGAGATTGTTTACTATAACAAACAATATTTGATAAAATGGATGACAAACAGGGGTTAGGATAGATTGGCACGCAACTTCAGATTTGGATCGCATCCCACTTAAAAGCACGTGAATCAGTTCATACTTTGAAAAATGATACATTGCTAGATGGTGGTTACCAAATTTTTTACCCCCTCACAAAAGCGCGGGTCCCATGTGTTTTAAAAAATGTCGGCCCGCGGCCCTAACCCTCTAATGTGAGTGTGGTGTAAAAAATTTGGTAAAAAATTTGATAAATATTGCATGACTCATGTTTTATACACTAGTGTGTACAACCACAACTTCCAGGGCCCACATTTCACTCACGGTCCTTGCTATTGACCCTTATGCTGCATCTTAAGCCGTGAGATCAGAATGTGGTGTACACCCGTGTGTAGGCTAACATAACCCAAGCAATGAATTTTTGTCCTAGTAGGCATTATAAATACGCGATATTCACCGGCAGCGATTACCATTGTATGTCTCTTCATTTTCTCATTCTCTCTTTCTACATAAATATTTCCTCTCTCTAAGAAAGCTCCTATTTTCGTCATCATATCATCCGAATCGCTAGAAATTCAGATTTTGCAGATTTCTCGTCCAATTCAAACAGAAAACCTAGATTTTCGCACCCAATCAAACCCCTGAGTCCAATTCCTTCAAATCGCGCCAGATCTGATCGCCGTTCCCAAAATTTTCCCTCAAATTTTTAAAAATTGAATCGATCCTTTTCTTTTCCCTTTTTGTGTAAAGGAATTGAATTCAATTGAGTTAAATTATATCTGTCCTGTAATTTTGACTCACGGGGTAAGATTTTGTTAGAACAATTGTGTGCATGGTGGCCATGGGAAGGATTTATAAGGAGACCGCCAAACCCTCGTCGTCGACGGCGTCTCCGTCGGCACCAGCAGTGACGACGTCGACGTCTATAACGGAGACGGTGAACGGGTCTCACGACTTCAAGATTACGGGTTATTCATTGTCCAAAGGAATTGGGATCGGAAAGTATATAGCGTCGGACACTTTTATGGTCGGTGGGTACTCATGGGCGATCTATTTCTATCCTGATGGGAAGAGTGTGGAGGACAACGCGACATATGTCTCACTTTTTATTGCCCTAGCGAGTGAGGGCACGGACGTGAGGGCTCTTTTCGAGTTAACGCTTATGGATCAAAGTGGGGGTGAGAGGCACAAGGTGCATAGCCATTTTGGTAGGGCGCTGGACAGTGGGCCGTATACTCTTAAATACAGAGGCAGCATGTGGTGAGTTGTCATTTATTCCATTCACCTCTTGCCTTGAATTATACCTGGGTTTTGCCTTTTTCTTGTAATATTCGTATCTGATACTTTGGTTAAAGTATTTGTTTAACTGGTGCCAAATCTCTTCAACTTCAGCTCATTTTTTGTACATTTTCGTTTTTTCTTTAATTATGATACAAATAGATAAAAGCCTATGTTTTATAACATATGTACAATACAAATTCTGGAATGGTTTATTAAAGGAAATGGATTGACTGGATGGTCAATTACGGCATGTGCTGTCTCTGTCTCTCTTCCTGCCATTTTCCCATGCAGTTTGGATACTTGAGTGGTTCATTCTTTTTCGTCTTGAACGTCTTATACCATATTTTCACTACCTAAGTTGTAGACACACACACAAAATAGGAATGTCTTTCGGGGATTGGTTAAGAATTAAGCAGACATCCAGTTTCTACATGGAATGCACACATATCCAGTTTCTGAATAGGTTTCTTGTTAAATGCTGTTTTGCTGGGAAGAATCTGGAAACCATGTTTTCTTGTTACTTTGGAAACAATGTAAATACAACAGTGGGTATCCAAATTGTAATTTGATGTGCTTGCAGTTATGTTCCATATTTCCTTGAAGATAATACTTGACTGAGTTTGTAGACTACCCTTTTATCGGCATGACAAAAGATGAGTAGCTGTTGTGTAAATGATACACATGTTATTTTACTTTGCTTTGGTTGTTTTGATATTTTCTCTCTTTGCTCATTTATTCTTCTTGGGGTCCCTGGAAAAGAACTGAACAATGTTTCTGTGTGAGTTATGGGGCTTCATGGTAGAGTTTTGTGTAAATTTTCTTGGAACTTATTTTTCTAGAGTTATGCTCTTCATATTCATGTCCTTCAGCGTGCAATAGCAGTGAACTTTTAAGGGGAGATTTTTGGCATAACGTAAATGCTGTACTTTCGGATACTGCAGGGGATACAAGCGGTTTTTCAAAAGATCTACTTTGGAAGGATCACACTACCTGAAGGATGATTGCCTTCAAGTACATTGCTGTGTTGGCGTTGTTAGGTCTAACACAGAGGGACCTAAGATCTACTCTATACCAGTACCACCATCTGACATTGGTCAGCATTTTGGGCAGCTGCTGGAAAGTGGAAAAGGAACTGATGTAAATTTTGAAGTTGATGGAGAAATTTTTCCGGCTCACAAATTGGTACTTGCCGCTCGTTCACCAGTATTTAGAGCTCAATTATATGGTCCCATGAAGGATCAAGATACGCAGTGTATAAAAATAGAAGACATGGAGGCACCCGTTTTTAAGGTCTTGTGCAACTCCTCCGTAATAACAGTGATTAAGTTATATTTATACTATTTGCTTGAATTTTTTTGCATGCTTGTTATATTGTACCGTGGCTCATGATAATGGTTTATTTTAAATGTTTACTTTATCAAGTATTCATCCTTTGGGTGAACTGATGTTTTCTGCGCTTGTATCATTTATTCAGTCTGTCTTTTGCCTAGGTAAATATTGTTCACATAAATATATGGCCAAATAATGGTATTATTGTGCTTGAGAATGACTAGAAAAGTTAAATGATTTCTTGCATTGAATTTGTTATTGTTAGGATATAGCAATTTGCATATGGTTCAAAAGTCTCTAGCTGTATGTCTTGCTATGTCGAACCAAAACAGATTAAGAAAAGAAAAGGTTATCATGGCAGAGGTATTTCATCTGTTGTATTGCAATAAACCAATTAACTGAGGAAACGGCTTATTTTTCTATTGAAAAAGTGAAGAAAGTAACTCATCTTCTGTAGCAACTGGCAATGTAAAATGGCACACCAGTTGGGTTTATATCTGGCTTGACAGCTTGTACTTGGATGGGGACCCTGGTGTTAGGTGTACACTCAGATTTGGGCAGCTTAGTGTATATTTGGCAAAGCTTTTAAGTACTTATAAGTTGATTAAACATTATTTTAACCACAACTTTTGTCTACTATTTAAGCTTACATTCCTTGGAATGCACTGCTTATAAGAACTTAATTGCTTTGCCAAACAAGCAAAGAGATGATTTTATTTTACCGATTTGAGGCTCCACTTAATATTTGAAGATTAATTCAAGAAATTTATCAGTACCTATAACAATTGCATCACTTTGCTAAAATTTGGTATCATAATGGGTAATGATCGGTAAAAGGGAACTTTTAAGCTTTGACGCTTGAAAATTGTTCAGGTAATTTTTGAGTTTCAAGTGAGTTAAACATGCACAAACCTAGCATTGTTGTGCAGCTGCTGGTGTTACTTTGCCATCAATAATGTGCCTAGTTTATGCAGTGTTATGTATGTCACCTCTGGTTTGTAGTTTATCAATCATGCCTCTTTTGTGCACGTATCCAATTTCTAGTGTGACAGTCGTGGCCGGGGGAGAGCATCTAGCAGCTCATCCTGCCTTCTTTTGAATTGCATATTTAAACAAACGATACTTTGTGCAATTTATCAACTTATAGCAATTCTTGAAAGGCCAGTTTGGGGGGTGACCTATTTGATTCAATCTGTTTAAAACTGTTTGTTGATGATGAAATTTTCCATGTAGTTGACACTTATTTTTTGATTCATTACTCTTGTCACGTGTGTCTTGTAGGCCTTACTTCATTTTATATACTGGGATGTGCTACCTGACATGGAAGAACTTACTGGGATGAACTCGAAATGGGCTTCTACATTGATGGCTCAGCATTTGCTTGCAGCTGCTGATCGGTATGGTTTAGATAGGCTCCGGTTGCTTTGTGAGGCTAATCTCTGTGAGGATGTTGCTATAAATACTGTTGCAAATACGCTGGCATTGGCAGAGCAGCATCATTGTTTCCAGCTGAAATCTGTGTGTCTCAAATTTGTTGCATTGCCTGAAAATCTTAGAGGTAAATCTTGTCTACATTTCAGTTTTCAACCTTGTTATACACACTGGTACTTACATGCTTTACCAATTAACTGGAGTCTGCTAAGGAAAACTTTGGACGAGTCAGAGTTCCATCCACTTAATAAGTTTTATTTTTCCTTTAATCAAAATCTTATTTTATTAATTTATCTTTTTTTCAGATAGTTAAGAAATAAATTTTGCACACCCAAGAACCATGGCTGTTGCCTTATTGCAGTTGGCACTTGATAGCACCATCTCACCTCCAGTTATATTAAAATCACAATCTCGATCTTAAGATTGTAGGAACCTATGATATAAATCTAGACAATGGATTTATATAACCTTATTTAGGTTTAGGATCACTAGGAGGTCCATGTGATCAGATGTATGATCAAAACCATTTCTATGATTTATTGTTATTGTTATTGTTATTGTTATTGTTATTGTTATTGTTATTGGATTGAGGATGAATTTTAAAGACAGCAATGTTTCTTTGGATCTTTTTAGTAATTGTTTTGGTCTAATGTTTTTACAAAAATGCAGTATATGAACTAGGATACGATTTCCTCAATTTAAAATCATGCAACACTGTATACAGTTTCTCCAAGCTAAAAGCATCCGTCCAAAAAGAGGCATTAAATCCACACATGGCTAGCACATTAGGTGGTTTTTTTTCAATGCTATTTTTGGCAAAACCTGCCACAAACTGGACGTGCATTTTAGGCGAAACAAAAAGAAATACTTTAGAATTTATTTGATTGATATACTTTATTATCATTCCAAGTTACTTTTCTTAGATTAGGTAATATTCCATCCTGTTAGTTTGGTAGGTTTTGTGGTTTGCTAGACACTTTAAAGTATAAGAGAACAACAAATTGTATCCCTATGGTCCTTTTGATGATGAAACAATTGATACGAAGCACATTATATGGAAATTGAAGAAGAAAGTTAAGAAGGGAGAGAAGAAACTAGAAGAAAAAGAGGGAGAAAGAGAGAAGAAGATTCCAGTATGTCTCAATATTCATTCATGTGTAGTCCATCTATATTGCAAAAAAACTTTATGCTAACTTAAAATCTCTAGTTAAGAAGGAAAGTTACCAAACCAACAAGCTGTGGGAAGAACTAGTAAATACAGAATGAGAATGAAGAAAATCAAATCCTAATCTGTTTCTTATTCTTTTGCCTGAAATGCATGTCTTGTTCACGGTTAGCCTTCCAAGAATATCCCCAAGGATCAATTACAGTCAATTATTATTATTATTATTATTATTATTATTATTATTATTATTATTATTATTATTATTATTATTATTATT